ACATATATATCGTCCAATGAGGAAGTTCCCCATGCAAACATTTGATTCCGATCATTCAGTTTCTATAGCAGCTATATTCTATTGTTATTATATTACATTGTTATTATATTATTATATTATCTTGTCACTGTGTTTACGAAATTTGGTATTATTTTCTAATTTATTATCTTGATCTGAACAATTTCTTCTTATATTACATTATTATCTTAGAAAATAACCTGTGCCAACTTTTGTGAAGATAAATTGTCAAACTTGAAAGTTTTCCATACAAGAACTTCATTCCGATCGTTCAGTTTATATGGCAGTGGTCCGATATCGACAGTTCCGACAAATGAACAGCTTCTTGACGAGAAAATTACGTTTGCAAAATTTCAAAACGATATCTTAAAAATTGAGGGACTAGTTCGTATATATACAGACAGACATACGGACATGACTAAATCGACTCAGCTCAACATATTGGTCATTTATATACTAGTATATACTTTATAGGATCTCCAACGCTTCCTTCTGGGTGTTACAAACTTCGTGGCAAACTGTATATTAAGTTCAGGCTATACCTTGTTCAGTCGCTCTATTCAATAGTCAAATACGACAAGAGGCATGCCAGTGTTTTAACATATATAATGTTTTCATACTCACAATAACGCCGAAGATCGTCAGTCGTAAAAGCTTCTGCGATTATGTGGATTGGATTTCCGAATGTTTCGGCTGATAGCAGTGACAATATACGAGTTGTTGTTGGGTATTTTGTGAACGAATCAATTACGATGAATATAGATACTGAATTCTAAAGTTTATTACTTGACTCTAAGAGTCCAAGATAATCTACGTTATAGGTGTAAAAGGAATTCGCTCTTTCTGAAATGGATGTTGTTTAAATGAGTTAAGCCTACCCCCTACTCTACCCGGGAAAAACTGGCGCACCCTAAGGAAATATTGCACAATACACCACATCTGATCATCCATCATAATACAACACCAACACAACTCACCACACCAGTACCCCTAACCACTTATCAAAAAGGATGGACAACATAATAGCAGACTCAATTCGTTCGACACACTGCACACATCAACATTCGCACGTCAACCTTCGATCATCAACACAATTGGCTTACACACTACGCTGCGTTAACATCTCTTCGCCGATCCTGAGTTCGTTAATTCGAGTCGTCAGTAATCCAGAGCGCTACATCAAGATCAATACATGCTTAACCACCGGGCTACATTCGAATCAACACCATCTCCTGTTGCTTCATCTGGGCGCTGTCTCGCATTGATTCATATTGTACATTTATCTCACATTTTATGGTAAAAATTAATTGATCAATTAAAACCATTTTAAATATAAATTACATTTGCGTTCTGTTTTTAATAAATTGTTAGAGACTGAAAAGGCAACTAGTGGATGTACACTTAAATATGGTCCTCCGAGCCTTACCGAAAGGCACCTTCGGGTTTTTCTAAATAAAAACGTATTAAAATAATTAAGAAATATAATATTTAATCGTATTTTAAACAACCGCGGTGACAAAAAAATAAAATAAAACAAAACAAAGTGCTGTGACACAACATATAAAAAAGAACAAAGTGAAGCTATAAAATTAAACAAGCAAACAGTTCCAACAAACAAAACCAAAAAACAACACACAAACCGGACGCGAACAAAAAAAAACACAAAATATAATTGCGGCGTTCACAACCTGTCTTAAAGCATCGTAAAGTCATAACATTTTAAATTTTTACATTAGTTTAAATAAAAATTAGGGTTTTCACATGTCTCCTAAAGTTATAAATTATAACGATTCGAAAACATAGTATTGAGAATTGTAAATGTGTAAACTTATTTTTGTTTGTAATCCAACAACAAATTTTTTTTAAACAAGTGTAAAAATTTAAAATTTTACGACTTTACGATTTAAGACAGGTTGTGAATACCCCAAATATAAACAACAAACACAACAGATTCAACTCACTGGGAGACTCGGAGGAACAAAATTGGCGGGAGAAATATGCATACAAGTGAAGAAACGTTTAATTCCGCTTAAGAACTAAAGGTTGCAATTACTTATACTTATACTCTAGACCTATAGTATGTTTGCCGCTGCAACGGGTATGGAGTTTTCTGACGCTGCGCTTAATACAGGTTGCCACTACACGTGTCGCACTCTCAACGATTTAGTGGTGTCACATTATGTATATTGCTTTGTATCCTATCATATTAATGCATCATATGATAATTTTTAACGTATGGGGTGCTAACTAGTTCTCCTTGAAATTCAAACGTCCTCGTTTGAATCTTTATATTTATTATATTGAAAATTTGGTTGAGTCTTTTTATTGCCAGTTGTGACAGAACATTCTTCTCGAAAATTAAGGCGATGACTATTAAAATGACGATTAGAGTGATGCTGGTTCCTTTTCTGACTCCGTTTGCGGCTTCTAACAGACTTACTTCTTTTGTATTGTTGAAGTTTAGCTGTTTTAGCATCTCCAACGAAAGGAATTCTTCTATATTGAGTGGTGCTGATGACGGTTGTAGGATTGCTGGTAGTGGTTTACTTGCTGTTCTTTCTTCGTTATAGAACTTTTTTCCGTTGATACGAGTAACAATGGTTACGTTGGTATACAAAAGGAGGTCCCGTTTAAAAATGTAGATTCGTTGTTTGTTGAAATTTTTCCGTTGTATTTACTTAGTAGTATTATTCCAGGCCCCATTTCCTCTATAGTTGAGATATACTGGTTGTTGACCTCCGTGCAAATTGGCAAACGACTTTTTAATTATTTATACAAGTATTATTACTTAATCTACTACATTATTGCTTAAGCATATTTGTAGGGAATTTTATTTTTTACAATAATTTTCTATTCCATAAATTCCCTTTTCGCAGTTTAAATTGTATTGAAATTGAGTTTACAATTTTGATTAACTACGGTTGGGAGGCTCAAAATATAAATTATAATTTTGCCATTAGTTGCAATTTTTACTTCGGAAAATCCGAGTGCTTCGTCTAAATTTTCATATGGAATATTGTCATTGTCTATTACTTCTTTCACACCATTTATTTCTTCATTTGATAAAATAAAATAATTTATTATGTTGGCTTTTGCCCAACGTATTGCGTATACAATATTTAAAATTTCTTCCTTAATTATTTCTAATTGGTATTTTAGCTGTAAAAATGCTTCAATTTCTAAACTTATTTCATTTTGTATGGTTTTAATTATGTTATTTGTAATATTTGTTATCTCGCTAATTTTGCCCATTGTAAGTTTGTTAATTAATACATGATTATTTTTATTTTGTAAGACATTATTTATTTTATTTGAAATTATTTCGTAGTCTTCATGGTCTGGGCTTCCTGCAATCCATTTCCATGCGCTATCCAGGAAATTTATTGGTCTGTTTGTTTTTGTTTTTTTTTTTGATTGTCAAGTTGGGATCTTATCTATGTTAAGTAAAGGGGTAGTTAGGAGTTTTGCGGAGAGTTTCAGTTTTAATAGTCGCTTCTATGTGGTCAAGTGCCTAAATACATTTTTCTATGTCAATTTCATGCATTATCCCAAATGTTCCTGTTTGCAGTCTAGCCGTTCCCTTTTTTATTGTTATCAATTGGAAGTTTGAGTAGTCGAGGATCTGTACCAGGGATAATGGGATGCCCAACTTATTCCAGTGTGAGAGCGCTTCAAAATAAGCATTCTTTATAACATTTTCGATTATGGCCAGATCGCACCAAATAAGAATTTTTGGACATTTTAAATTAACATACAAAACATTTATTACGATTGCAAAATATTATATATTGGACTTTTAATATATGGCGAAACTACTTAATTCCTCTTTTATGATTTTATGGTATATTAAAATAAMTGACTTTCGATATTTCAATACTTAATAAGGTGAATTAAGCCTGTTAGTTCTAAATTAATAAATGTTTTTAACCATTTGTAATAGAAAATTAATTCTATTATGCATCAAAATACAAAACGTTTCATGATATATATTTAAATTTCGCATTTTCTTYGATTTCCATTATTTTAAATTTTTATTAGCGATCTTGAACGGCGGCAATAAATTTCTCCGTCCACATATATTTTTGGTATAATTTCAATCTGGCCATTCCAGTCATTCCAATTGCAAAACGTCAAAACCTACTCAATCCAGTCAACTGTCAAAGTTCRGTAGGTTTTGACGTTTAGCAATTGCTCTCTCACTTCCAGTGAGAGAGGAGTTGGGGATCTCATTATCTCTGGTCTGTAAATCCGCTAGGCATAGCGGTAGTAATATTCTGAAAAATAATGTCAGTATATATTTAGTTACGTATTCTACCTTTGTCAATTATTTGTCTTTTTTCAATTAACACGATACTATTTCTTTCTTCCTTAACTATTTCCTTACTGTAGGGTTTACTTAACTTAGTTCCTAATCTCCAAATTTTCTTAAGAAATATTATTTGTCCTGGCAGATATGATTTTATTTCATTCTTATTTCTATTGTGATATTTGATATCCTTCCTGTGTTTCTCAGCTAATTTTTCTAAGTTGCTTTTTCCAGTTTTTTCAATGTCCTCGGGGGTAAATGTAACATCATGGAAAATGAGGTCTACTGGTCTCTTAAGTGTAGTGGAATGAACTGAATGATTATACTCAGATACTGCTCTTTCTAAAAGTTCTTCAAAATTCCTGTGTCCAACGTTTTCTTTTATTCAGCGGATTATTTCGATTAATGTAGAGTGGAACCTTTCCACTTGTCCGTATGGAGGAGTAGTGTAAACTTATATTCCCAACTCGTCTTTTATCATAAATTTTAAAGAGGCTGAGTTTAAAAATGGATCATTGTCGATCACTATTAATTTTGGTACTTCTAACAAAAATATATAATATCTCTTAAAAGTTTACTGACGTCTTCTATTGCTCTGCTATTTAGGCTTTTTGTTACTGCATATGTTTTAAATTTATCTAAAGCTGTCATAACTATTTTTCCCTCTGTTAAAAATATATCGATATGAACTATGTGTCCTGGATATGTTGGTAATGGAGTTTCTGCAATTTTCGGTTGATTGGGATGTGTCTCGTACTTATTTTTTTTACAAGCGGTGCAGTTGGCTATTATTCCTTTTATTTTATTTAACATACCGGAAAAATATTTTGTTTTGAGAATTTGTGTTTTATTTTCAGTGGCATTCCTATGTGCTCTTAAGTGTTCTTTTAATATGATGCTCTCCTGTTCTTGCTCGTTACTAACATCTTCATCTAATTTTTGGGTATATCGGCTTTTAATGTTACTGAAATGAATAGGATAGCTATTTTGCATCATACCCATTACCCTTTCCTCTGTATGAATTCAATTTATAACAGATGGGTTAAGGTATCGTTTCGTGTAAGAATTCAATAACTGTTCGTTGTACTCTGGTTCTGTAATTATATGTCTGGTGGAAAAATTATTTTAAATTAATTTATTTTTAATTTAAATATTTCGTCAATGTTGAAAAAAATTTGGTTTTTAAAAACATTAATTGGAACTTCTGTACAAGGTATTAAATTATGACTTGAGCGTTCATCGCTATGAATCGTAGTGAATTTATTTATATTGGTAGTCTTCAAAGTGCGTCTGCAACTACATTTATTTTACCAGGTTTGTAAATTTCTATTTTTTTCGAGTTCCGTTTGGAGACATGATCGGCTTCTCATCTTAGTAGTGCGTGATGGTTTAGCTACTTTTGCGTAATCCTGGAAATACCTAGGAAGGATCTTAATTCATTGAGAGTTTGTGGAACTGGAAATTTAGCTACCGCTTCTACTTTTTCGTGGTTGGTTTTTATCTCATTTGAACTGATTACATATCCTAAAAATTCTACTTCTTCTTTAGCAAATGTACATTTGTCTAATTGGATTTTCATGTTTGTTAAGGTTTGAAATACTAATTCTGTATTTTTAAAACGTTCATCTTGTTTTTGAAAACTATTATTACATCATCGATGTAAACTTAGCATCTTACTCCTATATGTTGGCAAAGGATATCGTCTAGTGCTCTTTGGAATGCGGCTGGAGCATTTTTTAGACCGAAGGGTAAGCGGAGGAATTCATATTTTCCGCTGTTAACGGAAAATGCGGTTTTTTCAATATCTGACTCGCGAAGTTGAATCTGATGGAACCCAATTTTTAAGTCAATGACAGTAAATAATTTATTATTTTCCAGATTTGCGAGGACTTCATTAATTTTTGGTATAGGATACTTCATTAATAATAGTATAGGGATCGTAACTTAATTGAGTATACGATAATCTACGACCATTCGATCCTTTTTTTCGCCAGAGGCATCTGATTTTTTGTTAACTATCTATATTGGGGAGTTATACGGAGATTTCGATCTCCTTATTATTCCGTTATCTAGGAGTTCTTCAATTTGGCGTTCGATTTCGTATTTTAATTCCATGGGATACGGGTATGGCTTGGAGTAGACAGGGGTTCGCGTGTGTTCCCGGATTTAACCTTTTGCGCGAGTGGTGTAGGTGAGTTTTTTCAGGCTCGGAAAAAAGGTTTGGCCATTTATCAATAATATTATTAATTTTGTTGTCGTAATGAGAGATGTGCAATATTGATTGCCGCATTATTCACTTCGTGTGTTAACATTATTCGTTGTGTTAACATTATATTTATACTTTGACAACTTGTCATTAAATTTTTGTCGGTATGAATAATTGCTTTTAGTTCTTTAAATGAGTCGTTGCCTACTATGCCGTAGAGTTGGTAATATGAAAAGTTTTATTTCCCCACTGTTGGTCCAAAAATGTCGACCCACGGTGTGGTGGGTAATTCAATTGTCCCTGCAACTAATTTTACTGTAAAGGCTTTTCGTTTAGAATTGGGTTCCTAATCCTAGTTGATTGAATGAAATTCTTATTTGATCCAATATCAATAAGAAAACCTATTGTTTCTCCGCGCCTTGTTCTAAATCCGTAATAAGGCAGCGAAGACGGCACTAATCTAAAAAATTAATAGTATCGGGCTCATTTTTACCTGCATTATCGTTGCTATCGTAGGAGTTGTCATCATATATCCCGTTCGAGTCTACTTCTACTGCATTAGTAAACAAAATTTCCTTTTATTTTTCTTGGAGGGTGAGTCAGTGGTGCGGAAATCGGACGTTTGAGTGGTCGATTGTATTGGGCCTAATCTTGTAATTAATCTGTCTTGATGCCGTGATTGGTTTACTTCCATCGGGGTCGATGGATTAGGTGGTAAGCTCGGTATGTTTTTAAAGGAGGTATTTTCTCTAGTAATATGGAGGTTGTTCGGCTAATTGTTGAACCTCGGCATGAACCTTGATTATTTTGCATACAGTTGGGAGAGTGTTGGGGATATCGGTTTGATTAACGACCGAATGCATGTTGGTCGAAATTTCGTCTAGGGGAATGGGAATATGTTAATTCGGTGGTGGCTGAATATTAGCTTTGTGTGTATTATGCGTTTTCGTTTTAACAACAGCCTCGGATGAGAGACGATACTTTTGATGACGACCATGGCAAACGTAATAAGGACTACGAATTGAGGGCATGCTCCTGGAATGTCCGGTCCCTTAATTGGGAAGGTGCCGCTGCCCAGCTGGTTGACGTCCTCGTAAAAATAAAGGCTGACATCACCGCCGTCCAAGAAATGCGATGGACGGGACAAGGACAGAGACGAGTTGGTCCTTGTGGCATTTACTACAGTGGCCATATAAAGGACCGCAAGTTTGGTGTGGGATCCGTCGCCGAGTACTATCACTTACTCCGGTGAATGAACGTCTAGCCACCATCCGCATCAAAGCGAGGTTCTTCAACATATCGCTGATTTGCGCCCACCCCCGATGGAAGAGAATGACGATGTGACCAAAGATGCCTTTTATGAGTGCTTGGADMGCACTTATGAGAGCTGCCCCCGCCACGATGTCAAAATCGTGCTTGGCGACTTTAACGCCAGGGTGGGCTAAGAACGTATCTTTGGGACTACGGTCGGTAAATTCAGCCTCCACGAGGAAACATCCCCAAATGGGTTGAGGCTGATCGACTTCACAGGGGCCCGATATATGGTTATCTGTAGTACTAGATTCCAGCATAAGAAGATACATCAAGCTACCTGGCTGTCTCCGAATCGAAAAACCATCAACCAGATCGATCATGTTGTGATAGACGGAAGGCACGTCTCCAGTGTTTTAGATGTGCGCGCGCTCCGACTCGGACCACTATCTTGTTGCAGCCAATACTCGCACACGCCTATGTACAGTACAAAACGCACGCCATCAAACACAAGGAAGGTTCGACGTCGAGAAGCTGCAATCACAACAGACAGCCGAACGATTTTCTACTCGGCTTGCACTGATGCTCTCTGAGAACACTCGTCAACAACTCGGTATGAGGGAACTGTGGGACGGCATTTCAAACTCCTTACGTACAGCTGCAACCGAAACCATTGGTTTTCGGGAAGTACAAAAKAACAGCTGGTACGATGAAGAGTGCCGTGTCGCAGCGAAGAGAAAACCGATGGACTGCCGGCCGAGCTATTGAAACACGACGGCGAAGAACTGTAAGGAGCATGCATCGGCTTCTTTGTAGAATATGGCCAGACGAAAGCATGCCCGACGATTGGAATTTAAGTGTGCTCTGTCTATTCCACAAAATGGGAGACCCCCAATCTGCGCCAACAACCGTGGGATAAGTCATTCATCGCATTAGAGGTTATATCGAGTGTATTGTGTGAAAGATTAAAACCCACTGTCAATAAACTGATTAGACCTTATCAATGGGCCTTAGACCTGCCAAAATCAACAACCGAGCAGATATTCACCATGCGCAAAATCTTGTAAAATGCCCGAGGAAATAGGATCGACACATACCAGTCTACGTCGATTTTAAAGCTTTTTGATAGTAGGAAAAGAAGCTGGCTCTATGCTGCTATGTCTGAATTTGGTATCTCCGCAAAACTGATACGACTGTGTAAACAGACGTTGAGCAATACCAAAAGCTCCAAGTTCGGGAATGACTTCCCCGAGCCGTTCGATACTAAACAAGGCTTCAGACAAGGCGACATCCTATGGTGCGACTTCTTCCATCTGTTGCTGGAGAAATAATTCGAACTGCAGAACTAAATAGATACCATCTTCTATAGGAGTGTACAACTGCTGGCGTACGCCGATGATATCGATGCCATTGGACTCAGCAACCGCGAGAAGCAAATGGTGGTGGTGAACGAGGGCAAGACGAGGGCAAGACGAAATATCTGTCATCAAACATACAGTTGTCGTACTCTCGCCTTGGCTCCTACTTCACTGTTGACAGTTATAACTATGAAATCATAGATAATTACGTCTATCTTGGAACCAGAATTAACATCGACAACAGTGTAAGCCTCGAAATCCAACGCAGAATAACTCTCAGAATAACTCTTGCTTAAAGTCCTTCGCTGAATGAACAAAAACCAAACTCTATAAGTCACTCATTATTCCTGTCTTGCTACATGGTATGGTGCAGAGGCATGAACGGTGACAACATCTGAAGTTGTTGATTAAATTTTTTGAATTCCCACGACAGCCGATTCTACGTACCGGAATTGACTCGAATTTCATCCGACTAAGGGCTGTTTTTTCGGCGATCTAACCCCGTTTGGATCGGTGAGTATTAATTTGTGTTTGTCTTCATTGCAGCAACGCCTTGCAGCAGGGTTGCTCCGTCTCCTCCTGACTCGTGCTGGCATTGAGCCCGACCCGGGCCCGGAGGAATTTTTCTGCTTAAGACTCATAGGGAGTGGGCCACGCGTTACGTGACCCTATGTTGACTACGCAATACTGCGACGCTTGGTTCCTCGCACAGTCTGTTCCGTGTGTCAGACCGCCAAACGTCGGTTCGTTACATCAGTCAAGTGCAATTCCTGCACTAGCTGGTGTCACTTCCCGGCGTGCTCCGAGAGTCTGCCCCCGCAACACACAACAGTGGTGTCGCCAACCAACAACCCAATGCGACAAACACCCCTGCGGGTTCTGCAGCTGCAACAAATACTACCCACACCCCCTCACTCTCACTCCCAGGATAACCCATGGGCACCCGCGATAAATCCGGCTACTTCAAATTAACTAAATCATGAATCGGGAGCGCGTATCGATAGTGAGCGAGCGATACCAAGAAACCAAGCTGAACAGCCGCTCAGATCTTCTGAGTTGTGACGGTTTCAACGTGATACGTAAAGATCGCGAGCGAGATAATGGTGGTGGTCTAGCCTTCATATTGCACAACACCGTGCAGTATCGTATAATCGATGAAGATAACGACCCCAGGGATACTACCCTAGAATGTCAGGGTATACCTATCCGGTCAGGCGTTGTCGAGCTCGAAATATTTAATATATACATCCCCCCAGTTACATGTTGCCCAACAGCGCTACTTCGTGGGGAAAACCGTTTGGCATTCCTGCCTGTCAAATGTTCGTAGGGGGATGGAGCTGGTGAAAAAGATCGACGATTCGACATTCTGTACAAAAAATGACGAAGCCCCTACCAGAGTTATGGGAACTTGTAGTAGCTCGCCCGATATTACAATTGCTACTGGTGGTCTGACCTGGCGACCTTTGCTATTTCTCGCATCAAACCATATGACCATAATTATCTAAATCGAGAAGCCAGCCGATTTCGTTTCTGTGGACAACCGTACCTTCGTTAACTTTTACAAAGCTAATTGGGCCGGCTTTACAGAGTTTTCCGACAGCACCTTCAACGCTCTAAGCATTCCTATTCCAACGTATCCGTTGGCGAATGTCAATTCCGCAAGGTGATCGTAGCAGCTACCACTCGCTTCATCCCGGCTGGAAGAATGGCGTAAATCCGCCCCAACTTCCCAGCCGAAGCAACCGTTTAGTGCGACACCTTACTCCATGCCGATTCCGAGGATCCCCGAATAAGGGATCTCAATCTGGAGATTCGGCATAAGCGGACGAAATAGATAGAGGACCTGAAGTCCTGTAACCTCTGCACCGGTTACACTACACCCTCCGGTAGACAAAGCCAAACGGTGTGTTAACGGACGGATGCGCAAAATGCCAAACGACTGCCCGAAACTTACTTTCAGGGAGTCATCAACAAAGCAAAATCCTCCAAATCCACTGGCCCTGATGGAATAAACTAATGCTAAAGCATCTATGCTCGACGGGAGTAAGATATCTCACCAAGGTCCTCAACCTGTCGCTGACCACTCTTCAAATCCCCGATGTGTGGAAAGTCGGAAGAGTGGTCCCACTACTGAAAGCTAGGAAGCCCGCCAACAAATGGGAATCTTATCGACCGATAACTCTCCCCAGTAGTGAAGACTCTTGAGGCCTTGCTACGTCCGACCTTCGCTCACCACCTGAGCCTAGCTAGCCACCAGCATGGATTCCGAAATTTGCACAGCACTACCACAGCATTTAGCGTCATAAACGCTGAGATGGTTCGTAGCCTGACCGCCATTCACAGTGGAGCTATCAACACCTTCACCGACTCCCTTCCCGTGAATGGCGTTCTTGGAGTCAAACCACCACCTAATGCAGACGAAGAGCTCGAGTTGCCGCGAGAAACGTGAGTGACTCTAGCGCAACTTCGTTCTGGGTATTGTAGACGGTTGAACTCCTACTTATCCAGAATAGAGCCTGACATACCCAACGTATGTCCTGCATGCAACAAGTCTCCGCATGACACTGACCACCTCTTCGGATGCCCTATCAACCCCACCCATCTAACACCCTTTCCTTTTGGTCCGACCCCGTCGAAACAGCACGTTTCCTTGGCCTCCCATTAGATGACGTCGACGACAACACTGATAACCCTCACCGTCCCAACGGGGGCCGATAACCGTTAAAACAGCAATAACAACATCTGAAGAATCGAAGCTACTAATTTTCGAGCGAAAGGTTCTGCGAAAGATGTATGGTTCTTTACGAGTCGGCCACGGCGAATATCGCATTCGATGAAACCATTGTTCCATCCCTTTATGGAATATACGACGACTTTGACATAGTTCAGCGAATCAAAGGTCATGTCGTCCGAATGGACGAAAGCACTCTAGCTCTGATATTATTTGACGTAGTACTCGCCGGGGATAGCAGAAGAAGACCTCCACTCCGTTGGAAAGATCAGGTGAAGAAAGACCTGGCTTCACTTGGAATCTCCAATTGGCGCCACATTGCAAGAAGAAGACACGACTGGAGCGCTGCTGTTAACTCGGCTGTAACCGCGAAGGCGGTGTCTACGTCAGTAAAGAAGTTAGTATGGGCTCTTGAAAAATTAGGAAATTACTTGTAAGACATTGCATATTTAAAAAAACTGGAATACCAAATTAAACAGTTGGAAAACCCTAATAAAACAATATGGTGCAGAAAAACATATATGAAGAAAATAATCAACCTATAAACTACTAACACTGGAAATGGAACACGTCACAAAAAACATTCAAGACTAAAATACAGTTTAATCAAAAGAACAGGGGATATTTTAATAAAGAAGGAAAGAATTAATAATTAATAAACAACTCACATAAAACACGTGGGGTTCCCTATCAACAAAGCAAGAGCGACGTCACCCAATGTGTGCGCTACACAACTACATCCCAAAACAAATTGCACACCTGTAGTTTTAAGTATTTTTGGTAAAGTATAAATAAAAGAGTAACACATTATACCACGTCTTTTGTAATATAGCAATTACTCAAAAAAGAACGTTTGAGGTCTGATGACGTCGAACTAAAATACTTATATCTTTTACATGTAAATCACTCAAGGCTATGAAATAGCGTCAGTAGACTTTTCATGAATTTTTTTAATTCAGTACTATTTAGTAGTAAATTGTGATAAAACTGCTAAATAAATAACGAGATATAGAAATACTCTAATTAAATTTAACATTCAGCTTATAATTGAACGGCTCGTTCTCGTACTTTTAAGACTGCTACGTTTCGAAAATTAAATTGGGTATACATACCTCGGGATAGTTTTGTTTCTTTTTGTAAGGTTTCGGTGGTACAAGTGGACCAACTCTTTTTGGACCATCAATTCCACAAATAACATATTTATTTATCTTTTCAATTTCACCCGTGGGTTCGCCCTGCATTTCTCCATCATTTTTGCTATTTAGGTCGGAACAGTTAATGGCTTTTACTTCGTTAGACCTTAAAACAAAGTGTTCATTCCCAGTGGAATTTAAATTCGATGTGGCATTAGCACTTGACATTTCATTTTTCGCATTCAGTTTTAACATTAAAAACTGCTCTGGAAGATCCATCACGTAAAATTAAATTACGACCCTGCAACCAGAAAATTTTTAGAATAAAATATTTTGGTGTCATTCGGTCTTTTTGAAAAAAAACATCGTTATTACTTATGGTCTAAATGGCGTCACAGAATCTATTATTATTTATTAAATATAGTATTTAACAAAATATATAAAAATAATTTGAGTTCATTAATTATACTTTTTTTATGAAAAATTAAAGATGTTAACTGTGGATGTATTAAAATACCCTTTTTAAAAAAATTCCGTACAAGAACTTAATTTTGACTTAGGACGGCATGTATGACAGCTATATGATATACATTGTTTTCTGTTCTGAATAATTTTTTTAGAGTTTGTGCTCTTGACTCTCACAATTATTCTTGCAATACTTTGTAAAGATATTTTGTTTCTTTACATAATTTCATTTTGATCGATCATATTATAACGGGTGATCCAAGTAGAGGTACTTCTTTCAAAGCCCTTTTCCGGCAGATCACGCGTGATCATGGAAAAACTTACGCTTGAACAACGTTTACACTTTGTTACGAAAGTCGAACGTAATTACGAAAATTCACGCGAACTATTCGCGTCACCATCACCTATTTTCAGACCCAGCATTCATTATTGGACAATATTCCACCGAATAGACCACGCCAAGCATGCAATGAAGAAAGTGTAACTGAGACTGTACATGAAGACCGTTGAGTCTTTTCGGACTGACGTATGGAACGACATGGCGCATTTTACGCCGAGATCTTAAATTGAAAGCCTACAAAATACTGCCTGTGCAAGAACTGAAGCCGCTCGACCTTCGTTTCGCCCTATGGTGTCTTAAAAAGTTCCAATAGGATCCGCCCTTTTCGCGCCACATTTTGTTCAGCGATGAGCCCCATTTCCGGCAGGATAAGTATGTTAACAAGCAAATTTGCTTATTTAGGATGAAAAGCAACTTAAGGAGATTCAAGAGCTGCTATTTCATCTAAAAAAGACAACAGTTTTGTGTGGTTTTGGAGGCCGGTGAAATCATCGGTCCATATTTCTTCAAAAACGATGCCGGTGAGAACGTAAGCGTATATGGCAACCGTTATCGCATCATGATAACCGACTATTATATGTCTGAAATTGAAGCTCGAGATTTTGGCGACTTTTAACTTCAACAAGACCGCGCCTTTTCCCACACATCGCATTAATCAATGGATTTATTAAGGGAACACTTTAGTGAGCAGATAATTTCAAATGCAAACTTGGATTCTTTTAGAAACACTTCTAAACTAAATCTGAATAGGTATACTTCATAGCCGTGATACGATGGCTAGTGCGCTGAAAAGCAGAATTAATGCAGCCGCCCTTAGAAAACAATCACCAAGAAGCAAAAATTACCTTAGTGGTACAAGAAGTTTTTTAACCTCTGAAAATCGGTTATCAAGCTTTTCTTAACACCCCATATTTTTAGACTAATGACAGCTAGGCTTGCGCTGATGTACATCCCCGAGTTCTGGAGGACTGAGTAAATAATATTCATACTTAATGTAGGAAGGAAAGACCATCACTGGAAACCCGACTAGGATTATAGAGAACAGAATACACAATGAATTAAGATCAAATGTACTTATCACATATCTTTATATACCACTCAGCATTCATACAGAGCAGGTAGGTCCACTAATACTCCTCTGTAGGTCCAAAGCTCGAAGAAGAACGGAGAAGTTGCTACCTGTGCCTTTTTAGACATCGCAAACGCTTTTGAAATTGCGCCCCCCTCAAGAGGGCAGTGTCACCAGCAAAGTGGTTCGAAGTTCTTCTTCGTCCTTGGACAGCTGAGACCACTATAGAGGTGAATCTGATCCCTGCTGTGGAGTGGCATTGTGGATGAACTTTCGAGCTTTTAACGGATTTCATTTAAATGGCTAGTAAATTGCTTAGAAAAAATTGCAATAATAACAAAAGTTTGTAAGCAATGTACATTGCCTTCTTATGTTATTTTGAAGTTAAAATAGTTCAAATTAAAAACTTCAACACGACAGCAGATTAGACAGATAATTTTTTATTCGACGAATTAAATAATGTTTTTTTATTACAATACTGTAAGCAAAATATCTCCAGTCATCAAACAAACAGTCGTCGCACTCGCACTGACGACTTGGCACTCACGTCACTGTTGACAATCATAGCTTTGAAGTTGTAGATAATTTCGTCTATCTTGGAACCAGCGTAAACACCACCAACAATGTCASCCTRGAAATCCAACGCAGGATAACTCTTGCCAACAGGTGCTWCTTCGGACTGAGTAGGCAATTGAGAAGCAAAGTCCTCTCTCGACAAACAAAAACCAAACTCTATAAGTCACTCATAATTCCCGTCCTGCTATATGGTGCAGAGGCTTGGACAATGTCAACAATGGATGAGTCGACGTTGCGAATTCTGCGAAAGATTTATTTGCGCGTTGGCCACGGCGAATATCGCATCCGATGGAACGATGAGCTGTACGAGATATACGACGACATTGACATAGCTCAGCGAATTAAAAGACAGCGGCTACGCTGGCTAGGTCATGTTGTCCGGATGGACGAAAACACTCCAGCTTTGAAAGTGTTCGACGCAGTACCCGCCGGGGGAAGCAGAGGAAGACTCCACTTCGTTGGAAGGAGCAGGAGGAGAAGGACCTGGCTTCACTTGGAATATCTAATTGGCGCCAAGTAGCGAAAAGAAGAAACGACTGGCGCACGGTTGTTAACTTGGCTATAATCGCGTAAACGGTGACTACGCCAATCAAGAAGAAGAAGAAGACAACCAAAACCGATACAAATTCTGAATTCATGACACCTACTACTCTATTTGATCGGTTTCAATTCTGATTCCGACTACTATCAGATTACACATCACCCTTGATAATGAATTGTGATGAATTTACAATGTTCTTCTGAAAAATGTCTGCAATCGCTGTATATTGCTTCTCTTATGTTTGGAGTTGCGATCTCAAGCTTATTTAAACTATTATTATAGAAAGCTTTGATTGTTTGTTTGAATTGAACAGGCGCCAAAACTACTTGACGGATTTCAAAAATTATTTTATCGTTGGGACACAGTTCATTTCATTCGAAAGATATCATGTATTTAAAAATGTAGGTATTAGAAAAAAGTTGCCTGGTCGCAGGATTACCCCGCTTGGATAAGCTGCCCCTTATGTAGGCAACAATAAGGTACGCGAGGAAAGACAATGTCAAAACATAATTTCTTAACTCAAAAAACTAGCAGGAGAGTAATAGATTTGACGATTAATCAAAGCTTATATACACCAGAGAAGAGCTGTTCTCATTTCATACCTTTATGAAGCCGTCAGAATAACAATGTTGAAAATAGTACACTTTCATTTATTTTATGTAATTTGATATTTCTCTTTATTGACTTTCATTACCGAAAGTCTCAAGTACATTGCATTTAAGTCGGCTCAATTTGAGTTTGTTAGTGTTTAAGTGGCAAGCAAAAATGGCATATGGTTCGGTTTCGCCTGTTTACAAAAACGAATGTGAATCACCTCTTGTACAAACGGGCGAAAGCACCAAAAGACATTAACGAATAAATTTTTTTTGTTACATTCATAGTCTACAGATACCTTGTGCATATGTGGACTCGAAAATAAGGTGGACCGATTGCAAAAGATATTGGAATTAACTTCTGTTCTGCTTAAAAAAAGTACTCCTTCAAATTTATCAATATACTACTATTTATCCACAGTAAGGGATAATCTCAAATTTGTTTTTCTTAGCTCGCCACGGAACTCGTGTGCCAAGGTTTAGCTAGATATTGCAATTGTTACTTAAGTTATCCCTTGCACGGTATTTAAAGTTGAACCGAATGTAATGGGAAGCACACAGCACACAGAGAATGTATAAATATAGAGAAGGTGCAAGTTCGAAGTTGAACATTTTATAGGATTGTGATACGGAATTCACCTCACACCCACAGAATTCACGATGTGAAATGTGAATATGAAGGGAAATAATATACATATGTACGGCTCATGATACCATAGCATGTATGCGCAATCAGGGAATATTGAAGAAAAATAAGTTCTTTGCATTGCATTGTGATATTTTCATGCTTCAATTTTTCTTTCAACTTGTGATTTGATGTGTATGCAAATATGTATGCTTTTGCGTTTTGCCGTCGGCAATTTAATGTAGACATGTAAACATAATTATTATATGAATATAATTTTGTATAAATGCATGCACAGTAATATTTATAATCAATTTCGAAATGCATATTTAATAATTTCATTTGGTTTTTACATAATATACTATACTAATAAATATTTTTGTATTACGTTTCTTACTAATAGAAATTGTATTTATCACAACAATATAGTATAAATATGTACATATATTTGTATACACTTCCGAAAAATTAATACACAAGCATACAAACGTACATATGCGTACACATGTGAATATGTACCAACAAAAAATTGAAGCATTGTTCTACAAAAACAACAACTGTCTCAAATAGCATAAGCATGCCAAGTCAATATGGCAGCCGAATTGGCGAAGCCCAAATTTAGTAAATTTTAAACGATTTCATTCATAAACGCAGGCGCAAATTCCACAAGCAACCTCGCTTCATTCATAAAAGCAAACGCCGTAACATCTCTCCGAGCATACCTTTGCTTTCAAGCATCTTTTCTAAAAAGCATACATTGAGCATATTTCTGGTGTTTGTTCTAAAAAAGAAGTGAGAAAAGTGGCAACATAGTTGTTGTCGATTTACAATATTTGTCAATTCCAAAATATTTTTCCGTGGCTCTCAAAAATCCGCGTCGATATGTATGCAAGCTCATACATATGTATAAATATTTACGCTAGTTTTTAGGCGAAGCTGTTACAGCGGTAAGGGAAGCGGTAACAATCGGCGACCGTTTGTTAGTTTCTTTCGGCATAGCTCGGACTTTCTACCAACAACACAACGAGCTTCGGCCATTGGTTGACCGTAACAACGGAGATGCGAAAGATACGTTCGGCACTTGTTATTATG